ATATATATATATATATATATATATATATATATATATAGACGACCTAATAAACAGAAAACAAACTGTTTTTTTTTAAGAGATCTTGTGGGAGGAGAGCATATTAATAAATATATTAATACATTTCACAATTTGATTTTAGGGACATATTTGTTTATTCAAAACTTTCTCAGTGCTCAGCAATGTAGAACTGAAACCAAATAAGCGAAATGAAACAATCTGTCATTCTGTGAACATTTACTGACAGGTGGTAATTTGTGGAAAAATTAGCAGAACACAGCAGTATATGTTTTTTGTCAACTAGTATAAGGGTGGCTGACATGAAATACTTTTGGGAAGTTGACATGTGGTGTGACATACTATACTTCATCTAAAACTACTGCAAACAGCATTTTGATTACACTTCTGTATAATTATCATGTAGACAGCATTTATGACATTATTTTGAGAGAATACATGGAATATTTGTACACCACTGGATAATTCAACATTATATTACAAAGGCAAAAAATGGTTAAGAAAAAATAGCATTGAACAACCAGTCACATCCCATAAAACATAAACTTTCCATTATACATTCATATAAATTTTAACCTAAAAATCTTGATTTTTAAAGTCTGCCCTCGTAGAATGCATGTGTCATACATTACTGTAATGATAAAAAAAAAAAATAGAAATATAATGGTTTTATTTTTGTATAATTGCAATAATTGCAAGTGAATGTATGTTATGTACTATGTGTGTGTGTATAATAATACAGAGTGCATCATATTTAAAATGTTAACATGGTTTTGGGGTCCAGGTGCTTCACTTATACCAAAGAGGTCCATAATTACTAGTATTGTCCACAATAACAACTTCAAGATGAACCAACCACTTGTTGTCAAACACACACACACACTAAAGAAAATACTAAATAAATTTGGCAGTAGTGTCTCCAAATGACTGCCTATAGCATTACTGTTTGTATTGGATTTTATTTTCTATCTATAAAAATAAAACAAATGAAATTCTGTTACACCAATTTATTACTAATATTGTGCTAACTGTTTAAAATGTGATTCAAACATATGAATCTACTGCAGAAGATTACTAAATATAGATTGAAGGTAAATGTGTACAATAATTAACTTTCAGTTGCTAAGAAATGCATGAAAAGTTGGGAAAGCTTTCTCTGCCAAAGAGAGTGATTATTTATTTTGGAAAATGTTGGATAATTTATCAATTTAAGAAAATATTTTTCAGATACAAAAATGTTACCACATAACCTATATACTTTTCATGTTTAAATGAATGGAAAAGGTTGTAAAAATGTATTATGTATGTTTATTTTTATTTATTTTGTCCTTTTTTATGTGTTTTCTTTTCCTTTCTCTGAAATGTACTTACAAAAATAACATAAATAAGCTGTCAACAAAAATAAACTGGATTTGATTGCCAACATTTACAATATTGGTTTCTCGGGGATTAACATGATTTGAAAATAGCATTGCGTGGAAAGAGCATAAGTGTTTTCCAAGAATATATATTTTATGTTTTTCTTTTTTCCGACAGAGGTAGTAATGGTGGGCCTATTACAAGTAGAGAAAAATTAACTCAGACACGTTCCACCCACAAAATATACAATATAAAACCATGCAGAACCATCATAAATTATATTGAACGTTTCCATGAACTAATTTGGGGAGTAACAAAGCGGCATATTCTATATAGACTGTAACCATATTTGTGGGGTTTCACATGCGTTCTCTGCCATCACGCCACTAACGTGAGGTATACTGATTAAACTTTTTTAGAGCTGAAACCTGAGAGGTATACTGAGGTATACTGATGGAACTTTTTTAGAGATGAAACCTGAGAAGTGAAGTCAACGTTGTTTATTTCACATTGAGATATCATGCTATGAGATGGATGTCACTGAAATATTTTTAGTCCTGGTGGTTACATTCTGCTAGACATATTGCATACTGTGGAAGTTGGCGCCAATGCTGTCCTCTATCTGAGCTCGATATTGTTTCAGTATAGCCTTTCCTCTGTCCATGCTAACAGCCAGACTCATCATGTGTCATATTTAGAACACCTCATGCGTAGAAGACAGGTCATCATTGAACCATTGAACGCCTCCTGCAGTACGAGCGTTACAATTAAACATTTTGCTACAATATCCGTATTCATCCGTATTCACAGTGACGACGTGTTTAACAGTAGGCACATCTGTAGGCAATGTACTGACTTGCATATTACATTTAAATCACTACTCTGAGAAAAGTTAAGGAATAACTTATTTTTAGTGCTTGGATTTGGTTAGTGGTCTGACTTTTTTTTCCCCCAAATCACTATATATTATTGACGTAGAGGCTTGAATATCCACTTCTGTAGCATGTTTATGTGCATTTTAATGGTCTTCCCTAATTATTTTAGTATGTTATAGTATAATGTAACATTATATCAAAATACACTCTTGTTAAAGAAAGAAGGGGGGGGGTTGCTCAGTCAAGTAGCCATTCTTTCCTTCTTTTTCTTTTCTTTTAATTAACATGGCAACTTTTAGGTCAAACTGCTTTTTTTAATTAAAAATTGATTCCTCACATGTAACCAAAGCAGAGTGAACAGAGACTAATGGATTTGATGAAAACATCTAAAGAACAAAAAAAAAAAATTTTGATTATGAGAACTCATTTTTTGCAATGTCTTGTACCATCACAATCTCTAAGTACATCTCCTGTGGGCAACAGAATTGCATATGTGGCACAAACGTGATTCATAAATGGGCAGATTTCAATTTTACCGTTCGGTTCAACCATGCAGCGTAAATGGAATTTGCAGAGGGTAACTTCCGAATAAAAGGGAAATTTGAACTGGAAGAACGGCTCAAGGTGATTCTTCTACATTACTTTTGCACTCCAAGGAGCAAAATAAGTGATACATGGAGGGCCAGAATAAAACAATTTTATACTTGAGTAAAACATTTTTCAGATACATTTCCGCCTGAATAATTATATATATTTTTTCCTCTCCTCCAAAACAAAAACAAAAAAAAAAGATGGAAGCAAAACACATTCACAGCATCAAATGAATAAGAGCTGGCATTTGCGTTGAAAGTTGAATCTCTAGAATATTTTTTCTTAAAATATTGGAAAAGCCATTGTGATTAAAATGAGCCTAGCAGAGAAGAATAAGGCATGGCGATAGAGGAGAAGAGCCTGCACTAACATAAAACTAGACACAGAACAACAAGTGTAACAAGAAAAAAAAAAAGACAAAACAAGATAGGTTTTTCTATAATGTGTGTGTGCGTGTGTGTGTGTGTGTGTGTGTGTGTGTGTGTGTGATTTTAAAATAATTTATATAATTTTGTTTTGTTACTTGCTATTTTAGTATTAAGCCATAATGAGAATTTCTTGCATGGCTGTTTCTGTTTTACTAATAGTTGGCATGCACAAATTTGATCAAACATTATTAATATTCTAATAAAATAATGAATTCAAGATTGTGCTGGGAAGAGACTCTGCTTATTGCTTGACCTGAAAAATTATAGTTTCATACTGGCTTTGGCATTAGCTTTATCACTATAGGAATTGTTCATCTAAAAATTAAAATTCTGTCCTCATTTATTCAATCTCATGTTGTTCCAATCCTGTATGACTTTATTCCATAGAGAAAAAAAAATTCTGAATGTGCTAGCTGATCTTTACAATTACAATGAAAGGGCAACAAAAACAAAGCATCATAAAAGTAGTCAATACGAGTCATGTGGCATTTTCCAAGCATGTACGGGATCAATGAGTCAGTACAGAACGTTATAAACGAATCACTCTGATTCATGAACGAATCACCAAGGAGAGATTCTGTTTTCCACACAAAGTTATGGTTAATTAAAATGACATTTTGCATGGAAAATAGTCTTTTAGGTTTCTCCTTGTGTGTTCCACTGAAGAAAAAATATGTTTGAAACAACATGTGGTTGAATTAGGAGGCCTTTCTCTCCACTGCTTATGGTCTTCAATTAAGTGCCTTCCATAATTCTATCAGGTCTATGTGGACTCACTCCAGTAGTTTCTCTCTCAAAGACTTCCTAATGTAAACCTATGTGACTCCAACCAACTTATTGTGCCTTGAAGTGCTCTATCTCTCTTCTTTCTTTCTTTCTTTCTTTCTTTCTTTCTTTCTTTCTTTCTTTCTTTCTTTCACTCACCCAC